TGTAATGTTTCCTTATACATCCTTGCTTTCTGATTCTTTCCTCGCTCAGTAAGGCATATAAGGAAATAATCAATATGGCTGACCTCGAAGAAACAAGATGCTCTACAAAAATCGAACGCACTAGAGCGACAAATTAAAACTTAGAATGTCTTTCTGTAGTTCGCTAAGTAGTAAGAAAAAAACTTTTATTTCTACTTATTCTATTTTTCCAAAGAAACCTGTTGTCAAAATTGTAGCCGTGCTTTCCATTAAATTAGCAAGGCAAATAACTTGCAATCTAGCTCTTAATAGTTTTTTTAATAACATAAGCCAAAAAGACAAGTCTTTCTTTACAACCTCTATACTGGAATCATCGTACGGCCTTTAATAATTATTAACAAAAAATTAATATTTCAGCATTTTTACTGTCAAATGCCAATTTAATCAATGGTCCCAGCTGTGCAATTTCTATTGACTACATACGTGAAGTTTACATTTCGTCATCTGTTTGCCATAGCTATTTACTTCTATAGCATTTACATTATTGCTACAAACATATCAAATTCCCACTTGTACAGAATCTATTTTCTTACATATAATGTTCATTCTTTTATCACGATCATTTCCACTGCATTTTTCTTGACAGTTTTTCTCCATCGCTGCCCTGCGGCGCCAGCGAATATCGATGCGAAGCTCCGGTTTGTGGACAGTGAAGGATATCAGCCTCCAGAACCCCCCACCCCTCATACTCCTAGCCCATCAACCGCCCCCCTCACACTCCTAGCCTCTAACAACCCCCTCATACTCCTAGCCTACAGCAACCTCCCACATCACCCTAGCCTCCCACAAGCTTCCCTGATCCCCTAGCTTCTAGCAACCCTCCTTCATCCCCCTAGCCTCCAACAACCTCCCACGTCACCCTAGCCTCCAACAAGCTTCTCTGACCCCCTAGCCTTCAGCAACACTCCCTCATCCCCCTAGCTTCCAACGATCCATCTCATCCCCCTAAACCTCAGCGATATCTCCTACCTCGCTAGCCTCCAGCAACTCTCCCTCATCGTCTTGCCTCCAATGACCTCCTCATCCCCATAGCCTCAAACAACCGCTCATCCCCCTTAGCCTCCGGCAACCCACCACATCCCCTAGCCTCAAATGACCCTCCCTTTTCTTCCTAGCCTCCAGCAACTTCTCTAGTGCCCTTAGCCTCTTGTGACCCTCCCCCCCTCTAATCCCTAGCCTTCTGAAAACCAACCCATTCCTCTAGCCCCTTTCGGCCCTCTCCCCTTATATCTTCTCCCTCATCCATCCTCACATTTCCCTCTAACTGCTAATTCCATCTCATTCACTTGTCTTAATAGTCGTTAACCACACTCGCTTCCCTTACTTTCCTCTTTATTCTCCCGCTTACTCATACCCTCACTCTAACCTTCACTCTTATCCTCACTTTCACCATCACTTTAACCCTCACTCTAACCCTCACTCTTACCCTCACTCTTATCCTCACTTTTACCATCACTTTAACCCTCATTCTAACCCTCACTCTTATCCTCATTCTTACCCTCATTCTTACCCTCACTCTAACCCTCACTCTTGCCCTCACTCTTGCTCTCACTCTTACCCTCACTCTTATCCTCACTTTAACCCTCACTCTAACCCTCACTCTTACCCTCACTCTTATCCTCATTCTTACCCTCACTCTAACCCTCACTCTTGCCCTCACTCTTGCTCTCACTCTTACCCTCACTCTTGCCCTCACTCTTACCCTCATTCTTACCCTCACTCTTATCCTCATTCTTACCCTCACTCCTACCCTCACTCTTACCCTTACTCTTACCCTCACTTTTACCCTTACTCTTACCCTCACTTTTACCCTTACTCTTACCCTCATTTTTACCCTACCGTTTACTCATCCTATTTTTGACAATCGCACTTTACTCTTCCTTCACACTCCACCACTTTGCCCCACACTCTACTTACTCCTCCTCATACTCCCCATCATCCCCTTCCCACTTCCCTCACTCATCGAGCAGAAAAAAATAAAATCGTGATGGGGCTTGGTTTTTTATTCAGATTATGCAGATTTGATTGAGCCAATGGCCTATGCGGGGCTCCGCCCCCAACCAGCCCCTGCCGTATTGCCGGCTTGGCGACGTGTGGAGATACGGTGACGTGTGGAGATGCGGTGACGTGTGGAGATGCGGTGACGTGTGGAGATACGGTGACGTGTGGAGATACGGTGACGTGTGGAGATGCGGTGACGTGTGGAGATACACACTTGGCAATAACATAAGTTTATTTTTAATTTGATCACCTAACAAAATAACTGTATTGAAAGTTGCTTTAAAATATTATTTATTCCGAAAATATTTCCAACTGTTAATTCTAGCAAATGTTTTAACGGATACTTTTGCACTTACTGTAGGACGAAGATTATTTACATCATAGGATGGATTGAAAAATATATGAAACAACTTTACCAACGAACTACAGTATGTCAGGTTCTTGATACCCGAAAACCGTTAATCATTTTGATTCGAATTTTTCTTATTTACAATCATAGCTGTGTCATTGTGGTCACCGTCATCACACCACCGTCATCCCACCACCGTCATCACACCACCGTCATCACACCACCGTCATCACACCACCGTCATCACACCACCGTCATCACACCACTGTCATTCTCTCAAGTCTTGGCTGCAAACCTCTTCAGTAATGGCAACAACAAATTTTAATGTCCAGTTTACCTCCGAACGTTCACTACAGTCACTCAGCTGCCACTTAGATTTTGTAGAGAAATGTACCACATAGTTTTGGGGCCAGTGAGTGGTTGAGGCACAAGACAGTTCTTCAATGTTGACTACAAACTGTTACGGTTTTTCATAATATATTTCATGAAAATCTCGATTGTAGATTGTTTTACAAAACTGAATATGTATATTGAAAGAAGACGTTGGAGTAATGTTTTTCTACTCGATGTTAGGTGCTGCTAAGCGTTTTTTCATCCGTTTAGATCACTACAATTCCTGCCGTCTATTTTCTTCAGAAAGTTAAAACCTTTCCTACTTCAGAACGGCTCTCATTTACTCCTATTTCCATTTGCTGCCATTAAACCCCTTAATTTCTTCATTATCGCAAATTCCACGACAATTTCCCTCGCCTGGCTCTTATAGTTAGCACCAAGCATTGCAATTTTCACTTAAAATTACGTCTGCACTGCAAACGTTAATTACCTCGTGGAGTTTCAAAGCCTCTGGCAATCCGCAACTCAGACAAAGTCGAAACTGCAATAAAACTCCAACCCTGAAGCCGGAAAGCAATAACGGAATTTCCTCTGCTGCGGCTGCGTACAAAAGCATTTCTTCGTGAGCCTAAAACTCGCGTTGGTGCTTTGAATCATGAAGCTTGGTGCGTCATGAAGCTTGAATGGCGAGTGTTTGTCGTAAACAGCAGCACAAACAGAAGCTCAAACACTTGGGAATTATTCCCTGGAAAGTGAGCAAGGAAGCTCAATGTGAATAATCCCGAGGCTTTAAATTAAAATTATTAAATTAGCTCTTTATTTGGGATTAGAATTAGGATTTTAAGCTCTTACCTATAGTTCATTTAAGCTATCATGTAATATTACGCTTATTCGTTTGAATTTTAGTTGAAAGACTACCTTATACGCAAAAACTAAACAAACAATCAAACAACCGAAGACAACCTTATATGCAAACAGACCATTGAGAAAGCATTCCAATGAGCAAATAGACCAGTCCAGTTTGTCCGTGCAAAATTTATAATGCGAGCAGGCTTTAGAATATGCACACAAGAGGCCACGGTTATGCAGATTTCATAAGGCAAGCAGGCCTAGGCAAATAGGCCCAGGGAAATTTCATGAGGCCGTCTACAGCTCTCGTCATGCGTAAGGTCCATAAAGCACCGCCGTCAAAAGAGCCTCTTTAGGCCTACGTAGCAAATTTATGGAACCGCCTAAAAAATCTGAACCAAAATTTTACGGAACGAGTTCCTTCCTCGGCAACGCTGAGGCGCTTCCCGTTGATAAGAATTATTAGCATTTAAGAAATCTTCTGGCCAGCCTAAGACTTAGAACGGGTAGTTCAAAAATAAGAGTTATCTTCTGAAATATTCTGCACGATCGAAATTTTAGAGCAGTAAGTGGAAAATAAGCTATTCTTTATTCTTATAGTAAAAAGATTATTCTTATAATAATCATAAAACGGCACACCTACCGTCGGTGTAGTGGTTGGTGTACAAATAATTTTGATGTTTTATTATCTTTTCCTTGGCAAAAGGTTCAGTAGGTGGTGTGAAAATAAGATTTGTTTCCTATAATCTAACGCCTGGCTGAATATCACGAGTAGAGGATGTGAAAAATAAATCAAGCAATGAGAAATTTACGAGCGCGTGAGCATGTGGTTAAATTTGAATGAGATAATTATTACATGTTTTAAATGGGATAAAACATCTAACAAAGAAAATAATTTTTGAAGCACAATGAGATGAAAATGTGATTTGACTGGCACAGAAGAACATGACCATAGAGAAAATAAGACCTTTTAAAAAAATCAATTTATTTTTTTTTAATTTCCCATGTAAATTATCGCGAGCGTTATTACTGTCACTCTTGTTACTCCTCGCCCATTTTTCATGTTTCTGAATTTCTGCAAATAATTAATTCTCAATAAACTAGATTTGATTCGACATTTTTAATTGATCGATCCGTCAATAGCCAACTGCAATTACATCCGAGAAAAAGCATAAGCATTTCGTTATGGAAAATGTATTCTTTAGATGACTGTACTTTTCATATTTAAAAAGTCAATTTAATGATAAATTTTAAAAATGAATAATAAAATTCTTCAGTCGATGTTGGCATATTAAGTCCTGATTCCATCACATGATAATATCAATTCACAGAAAATTTAAATGTAAATCTTAGATGAAAACCAATTCGCAAAAAAAAACATATAACCAGCAAAACAATATTTCCCTAAACAGTAATTTTCTGTACTTACTTCTTCTAGCAACTGCAGGAGATGCTAGCAGCGCTAGTGCGGCGCAGATAGTCACTAGTCCAGCTGTAGGTAGAACTAGACCACCTAGCAGCTTCTTAACTTTCTTCAACGCTGCCTTCATTGTTCCAGACCACGTATTCTACAATTATTCTCTCACACGTGAGATCCAAGAAGCTTTCGATATTTCTTATAATAATCTCGACTGTCCGTACATTAATTGAAAATTTTACTACATTTCTTCGTACCTTGTTGTTTTGGAATTGTTATTTAATGTGCTGGTTAATTCGTATTCTTTACTTTCCGTCCAATACTCTATCTTTTTTGGTTCAGTAATACATAAACGCATAGGCAGCGTTCCCTTTTTTTAATCTGAACTCATCTTTCAAAAGGATGAATGGTTTTCAGTTTCAGTAATGGTTTTTAATTACTTCTAACAATTTTCAACTAAAATCGTGGAGTAAAACTTTTGGATATTTTTCAGGTTTCTTCTGAGACGGCGATTTTAAAGTTGGATTGTAGATTATATAAATTTGTAGCTAAATCAATTGCGAAAACGTGAAATGACGCAAATTAAATTATAATATACAAAATAGTACAATTTTTTAATTGGATTAATCAACTGTGAGTAAAATTTTTTACCTCAAATCTTACTTTCCATCGTTCAACTGCCTAATATTAGCGCTTTTCAAACATTGCTTGCCTCCTTCTCAGTGTGGCCGCTGAGCTCGTCCATGCCTGACTGCCTTCCTCTGAATGTTTCTACTGAAGTCAATACCTGCACGGACGCTTGCTACTCTACGGGATTCACTATTCAAGTTTCATGCTGGATATTTTCTTTTTAAACTTAGTAGTCACGTAACACCTCAGCTTTGGCTGAAGCTCAACTTTGCACTCTTAGTCTCATTTAAATCAACTACATAATGCATAAGTCCGAAATAAATATTCTATTATCAGCGAGAGCTCTGCACAACCTCTCTCCACCATGTCTGTGCTGATACTATGAGCCTAAAGCCGTCGTACCTCAGCCAACTTCCTCGCTCTATCCTCATACAAAACTTCGTGTTCTGACACATTTTTACTCATAATTACCATTTAAATTTCGGTTGCTGTCACTCGGTAAAATAATCAAATTATTCTTGCACGAAATCAATCAGGGAGGCTTGGGAATGTTATGTGATGTTTGTGGTTGAAAATACATATACGTTTCCAAACTAGCGTTAAACAATCTTCTATTAACAGACCTTTCAATTCTGCAGTCGACTCTCGATTTTTCTGAAAATCACGCGTTTGTTGGGAAACTTCCTTCGAATGATGCGATAAAGTCGAATTTCTCAAGGACGTCAAATGTTTGCGTCGGTCTTCAAAGTCTTCCAAGAAATTGACTCCTTGAAACTAAACTTCCCTTCCATTATATAGCTCTCCAGGCAGACCTGCCACGATTTTGAACTGATCATTTGATAATATTCTAGTAAATAAATTAGGCTGACAGCAAAATTTGAGAATTTTATATCAATTGCCTTCAAACGTTTCCCGTTGATTTCAACTTGTATGACACGGGAAAATTTTTAATATTTGTGCACCTAGGCCATGAGTATTGATATTCTCATTGCTTTTTTTATATCATTTTAGTTATGTATGGGATACAAATTATTTTCAAATTGAATAATTTTTGTTTCAAATTGTCAATCCCAACCCACCTTTTTCTAAACATGGCAGCCAGCTCCTGTCGCTAAACTCTACGGAAATTACATCTAACATTTGAGTATCTTATGAATGACTAACTACTCTACGGAGTTTACGCCTAATATTTACGTATCTATGTTAGGCCATGTAAAATACATAAGCTTATTATTGATGACTTAAATTCATTGGCTATTTAAGAAATCATTTCCATTGAGAGCACATTAAAAAATGTAGAATATCTTTCACATGAAAGCATATGTCTCAATACTTTAACAAACTTTTTGGCAATGTCTCGGCATTTAAATTATAAGTTCCTCCTCATTGAAAAAACAACCATCATAAATACATATTCATTGTTAAGAAACGTTAAGAATATGTTTATATACATTTGCCAAAACGGTCAATGATTTATATTAATTAATGAGGCCTCATTTCCAAATGTGGTGCAGCCATTAAAGTAAAAGGTAGAATTATTACAAATATCTTCTATCTTTGCACAACCCATTGTGATCCAAAAGTATTGTGTTATGGCACAAATCATTATGAAGTATTGATGTGTGTTTTTTCAGAACCTAATGTCTCATACTACAGAAGTTAAAAGTTAAGAAGTTCATTCAAAAAATATCTAGATTATCCTGCTGGCTAGAATAGTGGGAAAATATTTGGTAGTCTGTATGACAAACTGACAAGGAATAGAAGTTTTCTGACCATATTGAAAGAAATTGATTATTAGATTAGATTAGATTAGACATTAGACTGATTAGATTAGATTAGATTAGACCACTGATTAGACATTCTTATGTATTACCAAATGAAGAATTGATGGAAAATCTTGGTCGTTCTAAGACGCACAGCAAGGATAATTTCATGTTCAAAGAACAAATCTCAAGACAAAAAATAGAGATTATGAAACTTCTAAGTCTTTGCTTTCGACATTTCCATGGTGACCTCATTACAGTATGCAAGTATACTCACGCATTATTTAAGATTCTTGAAGGATTAATTGAGAATGAAACGAGTTGTAACACCAAGGTTATACACCTACAGACTTCGGTGCAGCTTACTAATGCAGCAACGAGTCAATGAGTTCTCATTTCGAGTCAATGATAAGTAGAACAGACACATCGTTTACCTCTCAAGCGTAAAAGCGTATTAATATGTAGACTACATGAAGCGATGCGCAAGTAAATGTTAAGACCTCAAGTGCCGTCAACCTCACAGTAAATAAAAAAATGTAAACATTCAATAGGTACTTCAAAGTTAATTTTGGATAGATCTGGTCAAATGACAAGTTTGTAGATCGCTAGAAGACAAGTCATGATCATTGCATGAATACGCAACATGCCTAACTTGGCATATTCTTCAATACCAACACTACTATTCTAATGATAGTACTATTATAGTAATAATACTATTATAATCGGTGTGAATTGTATAGCTATGAATACCGCTCATATTGTCCGATGATCTGGTTTTCAAAACATATCGCAGCACAAATTTCTTAATTGTTGAATATTCTGCATAGTGCAGTCTGCCTTAGGAGCCTTTAGGAGCCTTCAATATAAGCTAGCTTTATAATGTATACAGAGGTGAAAATGTAGGGATATCAATTGACTGATGATGCTTTTAGGCACAGTTTATTTGTTTGTGGAAAATTTATTTTTACTGTAGTTGCTCTTTTATGTTTGTTGAAGTAGTTTCCTTTCACCGTGTCCCTCAAAGTGAAACGCCATTGCCATTAACACCCGTCAACGATATTCTCCTTTTAGACCACACAGAGAAATTAATGAGGCTTTGTTATATAGCCATGCCTCTTTATGTGCCCGAGAGGACAAAGTGTGGGCCATAGCAATCAGTGCTACGTCCAAACTGTGCTTGTGCTGTGGGTTCAAAAGTTTGTCAATATTTAAACAATTTGACATGTTTATTTGGCCATATTGTCCCAGTCCATGCATCCACACTAAAAGAACGAAAACGTAAAAAACTAAACCATTATATAGGTACCTATACATCTTTGAGGATATAATTGAAGGAAATGTAAGCAAACAGTTAAGAGGAAGTCCTCACTGTTATGAAGTAAATGTTAAATATAATTAAACCTACCTATGGTAATAAATTACTGTTCCAAAAAAATCGAAAAATTTACGTGAACTTTGATAAACAAATATTCTACTAATCGACCCCCTTCACACCGCATACATTTTCCTACTCATTAATCCTGTCCTCGACCCTCGGTTGTCGATATCTACCCTTCTACCGGCTTCAGCCTAGCACACCAAAACACAATTAATCTCACTGTCCTGAATGCTATAAATTGAGATAGCATAGCTATTTCAGTGTTGATTAAGCCGGTAGACCTGTCGCCGATCCAGAGCATCGCAAAATATCCACAGCATTTTCTGGGTCTCGACCACGTAACTCACTGCTTCAATTTTGCTGTGCTTAACCGCCCGACCCTCTTGGATGTTTACTAGGAACTGTTCCAAGTTGCTTGGATCAAACCCATGGCTCCAATCCTGTTACCATGAACTGTTAATACTGGACCAGATGTACTACTTGTGTGAACAATGTGGCATTGTATTTTCAATATTTTAACAATTTAATGCTGAAGTGTATTTGCGCAGCATAAAATTAATTCTTACGTTAAAAGTCCAGCAGCACGGAAATTGTTGGATCATAGACGATTTGGGAATCATTAAATTCCTGCCATCCGGTGTTTAGTTTTGTTGTTCGAGAGATGCAGTTTAGGGTTACAGGGAACGAATTTTTTTTTTTCCGGAGAAAGTCAGTTGCGTTCGTGGCGAAAGCACGTGTGTAATTTTCGTTCCTTGAAATAACCGGCGAATTTTGAAGCTATAGATATTCAGATTTATTTGTAATCCCTTGCTCAAACCTACAATTAATACATTCAGACGCAACTGGCTCTCTCCCTCTGGCCTCTGAGCCTCTGAGGTTTGTCAGTCTGCTTTGAATTTTTTGAATTTTTATTTATTTTATTAGTTTTTTTTTTCTATTTGTTCAATTTTTTTTTTCTTTCTCCTTTTTTTATTTATTTATTTTTTTACTATTTTTTTCTTCCTCTTTTCTTCTTCCCTTTTATTTATTCCCTCTTTGTTAATTTGTTGCTGTTTGTTTTCGTTTATTGGGCAAGTTGAACTCTTCCAACATGAGTGATCCCAGCTGCCTTGCTGGCGCAGGGTTTGGTCCTCCTGAAATTAGTGGAAGCACAGAAGATGGTGGTAAGGAAAATGTAATGATAAGTGATTGTCTGGATGATGAGGTTGTTGCTTCTGATGGTTTAGTGGAAGAATCTGAAACTGACTGTGGAAGCATCATTGAAGCAACTCCTAATCCTATGGAGGCACAGATTGTTGGACGAAAGCGCAGAAATAGAGAAAAGAGCTCATCAAGTGAGAGCCTTCAGAGGGGAAACGTGAAGCGTCCTGCAGTGCAAAACAATAGAATTCAACAGAGTGGCTCTGCAAAGGGCACCAGCATGACAAACGTCAAGG